GCCTCTTCCCCCTCCTCCTCTTCCCTTCTCCCTCCTCTCCCCCCTCCTCCCTCCTCTTTCTCTCCTCTTCCTTGCCTTTTTCGTGGGAGAGGGAGGGGGCGAGGGTGGTCTATTCTGTTCTAACCCCGTGCGGGCGGAGCGGCGGGGGGGCCTCCGAGGAGGCAGAGGCAGACCCAGACCGGGGCTGTAGCTGAGGGGTGTCTTGACGACTGCGTGGGCCGTTTTTCGCCTGGATGCGGCGATGCAGCAGAGGAGGAGCGAAGGCAGAACCGAGGGAAGACGACGCCAAGCGCAACACGAGAATGCCAAGCACTGCTTCGCTGGAGCCCTGGCCCATACCGCTGCCCTTCCCTTTTTGTCCCCCCTCTCGGGCCTCCCGGGAGGCCCTCGTTGCCGCCGCTGGATTCGCTTCGAGATCCTGGTCAGGCCGCGCACTGGGAGAGGTCCGGGGAGTAGCGGTACTTATCGGTACTTCTTGATCGCACCAGGGCCGGCCAGCTCAAGTCTGCAGGAAGGAATCGGCGACGAGCGCGGGGGGGAAGTGAGGACGGGCGCGCCTTTTCTTAAGTCGGGCATGTCCCTGTACAGGAGAAATATTCAAACATAGTTCAACAAACATCTGGGGGCAATGTTTTAGAATGGTTTGGTCATTTTGTAGCATTTGTTGATTTTGCATTGTTCATCGAAAATCCCCTGTGAGGGGACATGCCCGACCTAAGCCTTCTCAGAAGGCTCGGATGTCCCCAAGCCTTTTGAGAAGTTTACCTAGCCTCCAGAAGACGCACAACAAACACCTTCATGAAAAGCGCGAGGACTTCTGAGAAGCTCCGCCGCCTCCTGAGAGGGCCTTCTCCTTCTCACTTCCCCCCTTCGCTCGCCGACGAAGGGAGCCGGTCTTTGATTCGAGGTGCCCTTGGCCCAAGGTGCCCCCCCAGCTTAGCTTGTCGCTCCATGCTGGAGCCACCAGGGCCCCCTTGGGCCTCGTGAGCGGTTGCTCTTGGAACTCTTGGGGGCATTTTGTCGGGCCATGGGCATTTCTTTCTGGTTGACCCAAAAGGGTCCAGCGATAAGCGTGTTGTGCCATACCTACATACTCACATATATACATATGTATGTGTTTGTATGTGTGTATATATATATATATGTGTGTACAAACAGATACATACATATATTTATGCATATATTATGTATAGAAGTACAAAATAAATGTGTATCATATACATATATACACAAACATACGTATCGGAGTAGGCCAGGCCGGGGGGGCGGGCCGCTGCCTGTAACCCCCCATGGGCGCTCTCCGGGGCCTCTGGGGGTCCCAGAGCTCACGAGACGGCCCGGACCCGTCCCGAAGCAGGCCACGACAGGCTATGGGGGTTCCATGAGAGCCCAAGACGGTCCCAAGAGGCCCCAAAGACGCCCAAAATGCCCTCAAGGCGGCCGACGAGGACTCCAACGCGCTTCAGGACGGACTCAAGAGGCTCCCCAAGAAGGCCCTGGGAGGCAACATTCGTTAAATGTACAAAGTCTTTGAACAATTTTGGCGTTCTCGGTTTTCTCGCTTCCCAGCGCTCCCTCACGGCCTCGGAGGTTCTTCAGATCGCCCCAAGACGGCCCACGAGGCCCCGATGAGGGCCCCAAGACGGCCCAGGAGGCTCCCCAGTCAACCCAAGTGTGCCCCAAAAGCGCCCCAAGAGGGGCCCAGATGGGGACCGCGATTCGATATTTCGAGGTCTCTGGCCCTAGAGGCCCCCAGTAGGCCCCCGGAGGCACCAAAGGGTCTCCCACGAAGCCCCGTGAGGCCCCCAAGATGCCCCCAGGAATCCCCAAGAGGACCCCAAGGGGCCCCCAGGGAACGCACAAGAGGCCCCCCAACACACCCTAACAATTGATGTCCGCAGAAAGCCTTCTGGGGACATGTTCATCATGGGCCCGAGAGTCTCCAGAGGCTCTGAAGTACCATCGCGCTACCGGAGAGCTGTCTGGAAAGTTGACTGGGAACATGATTGATCGCCTTCTCGCGGCCCTCAGCGGATCATTTCGCACACAGTTGCCCCAGTGCGTTCTCGAACCGGCGACGACGACGACGACGAAGACGACGAATCGACGAAGACGATGACGAGGACGACGACGACGGCGGCCCAGGAGGCGACGACGACATTACGACGACGGCGACGACGACTGCACGCCCCAACAGGCTCCCCAAGACGCCCCAAAAACCCATGTTCCCAGAAGGTCTTCTGGGAACCCGATTCATCCATCAGACCTCGGTCCCCCTACGCAACTATCTTCCCCGGAAGCCTCCGGAAAACGGATCGACATGTATGGATTTCTCACTGCCCATAATGCGTTCAGCGTTATGGGTATTTCTCTCTTCCCGTCAAACCATATGAAGTCAATTACTTCAGCGGAGCAGAGAACTCGTCAAGGCCTGGGGCCTGCTAGAACCTGAGCGCTCGCGAAACGCACGCGATATTTCTAGTATTTCTATACATATATACACGAAAAGTGGTGCACAATCGATTTGTGGGGTTGCAACATATCAGGGGCGTGCAGTACATTCCGCCGCGCACATGTATTGCTGGACTGTCGAGTGCAATACACTTATTGCAATAAAATGCAATACCATTTTCTGTCACAGTACATTTGCAATACAATTGCCCCAAATCCATTGCACCACCTCCTCTCAGCTGGAACCCCTTTGGGGGCACTTCTGTCGGGTATAGCCATGACCCCAGTGAAGGGGAGCCGGCTAGTGATTGGCCCGAAGCCCCAGACACGGGCCAGAATCACGAAGCAAGGTTTGCCGTAGTTGGTGCGGCAATTCGGGTTGGTGGAATGGGACGGGGGGGCGCCCCCCCGTACGCACCACCAAACCAGGCCCCTCCAATCTACGAGCCCAGTCCTGCCAGCGCCCGATCCTAGCAACACGCGGTCGAGGGAAAGGGCCCCCGGACCCCCCATGCGCTGGGTTCGGCCCCTTCGGGGCCCTCCGCGGGTCCCCCGAAGGGGGCCTGCGGAGGAGCGGCGCGGGACGAAGGGCAAGAGAGAGAGCGGGGGCCCGGGAGGCGCGCCAGGGGTCCAGGGCCTGCTTCCTGGACGAGCGAGCAGCACACGCACTCCCGGTCGGCGGCGGGCGAGGGGGGGAGGGGAGCGACGAGGAGAAGGCCTGCTAAGGAGGCGGCGGGGCTTCTCGGCAGCCCTCGCGTTTTTTCGGAGAGTGCTCCTTGTCTTCGGGGAGGGCTCCGGACATTTCTCAGGAGGCCTGGGGACTTTCGAGCCTTCTGAGAATGCCCGCCCCTTCTCACTTCCCCGCGAGGCTCGCCGCCGACATACACGCCGGCCGTTGAAAGAAGTTATTTATGGATGCCCAGATCTGTATTCATTCTGGACGCACCACTAGAAGGGTCGGAGATGGCTATGGTATGGGCGTGTGTTGGCGGATGGGCGTGCCCGCTGGAACGGAAGCGTCCCCGGGGTCCGACAACCTGCGCCCATACCCATAGCCAGTCCTCCTCCAAACGGTCCCCTATGGGTATGGGTGTGTGTTGTTCAAGTATCATTGGCCTCAGGACCCCCTTTCTTTGTGGCGAGCATGTCTCCAATCGACTTGCGGGGATCGGTCCAGACGGATCGATGTAAATCGAGGTGCATCCCCAGACATGAAGGTAGGTAAATCCAGATACGTCGAGGTACATCCACGGACTCCCAATATGCGGGTAGATCTGGAGAAATCGTGGAAACTCCAGCGATAGTCGAGGGACAGCAGAAGTCGTTAAGCATTGAAAGAGGCTCGGGGGGGAATGGGTTACTGGACGTGTTCGTCGGTTCCCGAATGATTTTTCTGCCACGGGGTGCGCTTTAGCAGCCACGCCTCGCCGAGAGGCGTCCGCAGGTGTCTGGCTCATCCCGAGCGGCCGCCAGAGACCTGAGTCATGGCCCGACAGCCGGACGACGAGTCTCAGGGGGGGAGCGCGTCGACTCCAAATCGCCCAGCCCACGCGGGCGAAGACGGGTCCGTGTGCGCGGCTTCGCCGGGCGGGCCTCTGGGCCGCGACCCCGCGGGAGCGGAGCGTTTTCTCGTGGATGTCCCTCGCAGACCTCATCGGTGCGACCGCGCATCCGCGGGATCGTCCCCAGGAATCCAGACCACGAGGGCGCGGGTACGGATGTGTTCGCTGATCTTGCGCTCCAGTCGCCGACGGGGGATTTTGACCCCCCCCCCACACCCCGCCCAGGAACGTGTGGTCTGGTTGTGAGGAGCTCGTCGCCGATCGATCATAGTCAGACATCATTAATCGTCGATTCCCGGGAAGATGTGGGAAACTATGGGAAGTGTGAGGGGGGAAGACGAAAGCCCAGAAAGTATTTGGAAATATTTGGGTTCTTGGGATTTGTGTTCATTTGTTCGTGTGTACCATGGCCCCTTTAGATAGGTATGTAAAGTATAGGCCGGCAGGTGCCCCGCGTAAGTGTCTTATCCCTCGATGGCCTCGGGGTGCCCCCCAAAAGCTCTGGCGCACCTCGGGGCCCTCCAGCATAGTCGAATCATGTGCTTCATTGTTTCTTGCAGCAGGAATTATTATCGTATGCGTGTTATGTGTCGTCGAAGCATTTCACCGAGAATAGAATATATCCTAATTCTAATAGCACAGTGAAGACGTGGCCTCACGTAGGTCCCCGTCTTTGCATTCAGAATAATAGGTCTGAGCGGTTTAGTTCGAGACATCTGCAGAACAAAAAGACACTCTGTCCCTAGTTTTCCTGCTCTTCTAACTTAGGCCCCCTCCCAAAGGGTTAGGGGTCCTTCAATTGCTAATCAATTATCGCCGACTCCAGGTCGTTTGTGGTGTCCTATGAAGAGGGAGCTGGGGGGAGGGCTTATTCCAACCTCGTTGGTGACTCGTGGGTTTACACTGGACCTCCTCCTCCTCCTCCTCCTCCTCCTCCTCCTAATCACTCTCCCCCTGAGCCAGGCCCCCCTCGCCCCCCCTCGCCAGGGTACAGGCGGCGGCGCAGGCCCGCAGGCCGCTGTCCAGGACCCGAGCGGCTTCGACATGGCGTCCGCGATTTCGATCCAACCGATCCGATTCCATGATCGATTCCGGCCAGCTCGATGCGACTCGCTTCTTCGACGACGAAAATCAGCATGAGCATCAGTTTTTCGGAAGTCCTTCTTGGATTTGCGCTGGCCCGTCAGCAGGCGGCTGCGGCGCCGCCCTTGGCGCGCTCCGGGCGCCTGGAAGAGAAGTTCAGCGCAGACGTAAGAGATGCGCGCGGAGTTCTGACAGTTTCTGTTTGTGCAGCCTTTGTCCATCTAACTCTGAAGTTTGGACGATCCGATTCAGCCCCACTGACTTGGCGCTGCTGTGCACCCTTGCGCGGCCGATGCCGATTCGATCTCGGCTCCATGCCGGAGCAGCCCGAACCGACGCACATTCCGATCCAACCCTTTCCGATTCGATCTGCCAGGACGCGAGCGGCTTCGACGTGGCGTTCGTGCCGATGGCAGCTGGCATCCCGTCAGCGCCGCTAGCGCACAGCCAGACTGCGGGAGTGTCGAACACGGTCTTCGGCGGCGGGCGTCGGGGGGAAGGGAGAAGGAGGGCCTTCTCAGAAGGCGGCGGGGCTTCTTAGAAGCCCTCCAGCCTTCGGAGAGATGTTCTGTGTCTTCGGGAGAGGCTTCGAAGGCTCCTCAGAAGGCCCCGGGGCTTCCGAGCCTTCTGAGCAGGCCCGCTCCTCCTCGCTTCCCTCCCGGGCTCGCCGCCGAGGTCTGCATCTCCAACACACCGGGCCAGTTGAACACGGGGATGCAGGCCGCGCGGGATTTGGCCCAGCTGGGGGAAATCGCCCGAATCGACTTCGGTCTCGCAAGCATCAGGGATATGCTGGTCACGTACTTCGACGTGCGGGATGCCCAGACGGCACTGCTGCGCCTGGCTTCCTGCGCCGCGCCGTTCCCGCAGGCGGCGCAGGACTCTCGGGTCGTCTTGGTGGATGTGGATGGCTTCTGCGCGAAGACGGGCCGCACAGCAGGATTCCAGGACTTTGGAGAGGTTCGGAGAAGGAGAGGGTACCCATACCTCTACCCTTCGCCCGTTTTCCCTGTTCGGGCCTCCTGGGCCTCCCTCGCCGTCACCGCTGGATTCGCCTCGAAATCCTGGTCAGAACGCACGCCGGGAGGGGTCCAGGGGGTACGTAGCGGTATGGGTACCTTTTGATTTCCCTAGAGGTGGCCAACGTCGACGTTGTTGCGGGGCAGCTGGTCGTCGAGTTCTACGACCTTCGCTCTGCACAGGCGCTCTTGGCGGCAGCAGGTGACTGTGCCACCCTGGTGCCCAGCAGCGCCTTTGCACCGCCCGCTCCCGTGGTGGCCCCCGTGAAAGCTGACCCCATTGGCGTCGGCAGCGCCGCAGACGGTGCTGCACAGCAGGCCTCAGAGGAGGGAAACCGAGGAACAGACACGTGATGACATGAGCATCCACGTTCGGAGTTGCGCGCTGTTTCCTTGGATCTGTCTGGACCCCCCGCCGTGGCGCGTGGAGCGCGCGCCATGGGGCGGTGCTGGAGGCGCCGCCAGGGGGCTCCAGCGCCGATCCGAGGAATCCGCGCGGACATCCGCAGGTCTATGTTTCTGTCAGCACCTGCTTCCCAAGGAAAGATACGGATACCGCTGCCCTTTCCTTGTCGCCACGGCTGGATTTGCCTTAATGTCGTTTTCAGAGCGCACCCGGGAGAAGCGGTATCGATATCTTCTTTCCCTCCCTCGAGGTCAGCGACGAGACCAAGCACCGCACCGCGCAGACAAAGGTCGCCCACTTGTTTACGTCGCAGCGCGGCAGAGGCAATCCCTTGCGCGCTCTAGTGGATCGGGCTACGTCACGGCGCTAATTGTCCGTCTGCACAGTAAGAGTGACCATTCGCCAGAGTGACCTTTGGTGCTGGCCCCGAGGGGGTCGGCTGATTTTCTTTTGGGATGAGCTTGACCTTGCGTCGGCACCCGTATCGCGTGATTGCGCTCGCATCTGAGCGCGCCAGGTTTGGCCCCCCCCTCTTCAATCGACAGCAACGCATACGCGGCGCACCCCAGCATTGGTTTCCCGAGGAGGGTCTGTCGACCAGACGGAGCGTTTCCCGCCTCAGGACCAGTCCTGAATCCCAGCCCAAATCCCAAGTCGCCCGGTTTGAATCTGTTTTTGATATCTTGGAATATTTTTGATTGGCGTCACCCCAACATACTTATACATACTAGATGTGCGTCGCCCCCTCTGGGCGATGTACGCACCGAGACACATTGTAGTGGCCTCCGGCCAGTGCCGCCGATCCGGGGGCGCTCCGACTGATGTGATCCTCCTTCGCCCTCGTCCTTCCTCTCTTTTTCCCTCCCTCCCCTTCTCACTCTGCATTTATCGAAGACGCCTACGGCGAATCACCGCCGCCCCCTGCCTTTGTGGAAGCGCCTCTGTGGCCGAACGTTGAGGCCAGACCTGCCAAGCCATCGGACCATGTGTTCCCCGAATCGGTTTGGAAAGCCTTCGGGGAACACATGGGCATCTTGAAGGTCATCTTGGCCGTCTTGGAGGCCTCTTGGGCGATCTTTTGGCGATCTTTGGGGGCCCTTGGGCCGTCTCGGGCCGTCGGAAGGCCGAAAAGAAGGAAATGTCAAAATCCGTCAAATACCCTAGGAACATACATTTTTTTAGCCTCTTCTGGCCTTCCTGGAAGCCTTCTTGGGAGCCTCTTGGGCCGTCTTGTCCAGCTTTGAGCCAACTGCGGCCATCTTGGTGTCTTGGGGGGCGGCTGGCGGGACGGGCCGAAGCGCCAGGGGGAGTTCTTTTGGAAAAAGAACCAACACCAAAACCGAAAAGATCCAGCACGCTAGGCACCCCTGCGATGAATCGACAGGGGGCGGCGGATCGAAGACGCCTACGGCGAATCACCGCCGCCCCCTGCCTTTTTGGAAGCGCCTATGTGGCCAAACGTTGAGGCCAGACCTGCCAAGCCATCGGACCATGTGTTCCCCGAATCGGTTTGGAAAGCCTTCGGGGAACACGTGGGCATCTTGATGGTCATCTTGGCCGTCTTGGAGGCCTCTTGGGCGATCTTTCGGCGATCTTTTGGAGCTCTTGGGCCGTCTCGGGCCGTCGGAAGGCCGAAAAGAAGGACGCAACAAGTCGCCAAAAACCTCAGGAACATTTTTGTTTGTTAGCCTCTTCTGGCCTTCCTGGAGGCCCTCTTGGGGGCCTCTTGGGCCCTTTTGGGCCAGTTTCGAGCCAACTTCGGCCATCTTGGTGGGTTCCTGGCACGTCTGACGCCGTCGGGAGCCGTCTTGGGGGCCGTTCTTGGCCGACTTTGGGCCCTCTTGGGGCGCTTCGGGGCCGTCTTGGGGGCCATCTTTGGCGTCTTGGAGGCCATCTTCGGCGTGTTGGAGGCCTCTTGGACCGTCTTGGGGCCCTCTTGGGGCCATCTTGGAGGCCACTTGGGCCGTCATGGGGCCCTCTTGGGGGCCTCTGGGGCGATCTTGGGGGCCTCTTGGGCCGTCTTGGGCCGTCGGAATGCCGAGAAGAAACAAATTCCATAATCCTTCAAAATCCTAAGGAGCATCAATGATTTTGGCCTCTTCGGGCCCTCCTGGAGGACCTCTTGGAGGCCTCTAGGGCCGTCTGGGAGGCCTCTGGGGGGCCTCTTGGGCCGTCTTGGACTCTCTTGGGCCGTCTTGGAGGCCGTCTTGGACCATCTTGGGCGGACTTGGAGGCCATCTTGGACCATCTTGGAGGCCATCTTGGAGGCCATCTTGGAGCCGTCTTGGGCAGGAACTTGGGGAATTGAGCGCCTTCCGGGTGGCCAGCGGGACAGGCCGAATCCCCGGGGTGAGTTCTTTTGGAAAAAGAACCAAGACCAACACCGAGAGGATTCAACTCGCCAGGCACCCTTGTGATGAATCAACAGGGGGCGGCGGATCGAAGACGCCTACGGCGAACCACCACCGCCCCTGCCTTTTTGGAAGCGCCTATGTGGCCAAACGTTGAGGCCAGACCTGCCAAGCTATCGGACCATGTGTTCCCCGAATCGGTTTGGAAAGCCTTCGGGGAACACGTGGGCATCTTGAAGGTCATCTTGGCCGTCTGGAGGCCATTTTGACCCTTTCGGGCCTTCTTGGAGGACGTCTTGGAGGGCTCTTGGGCCGTCTTCGAGGCCATCTTGAGCGTATTTGAGACATCTTGGGCCGTCTTGGGGGCCTCTTGGGGCTGTGTCTTGGGCCTCTTGGGCGATCTTTGGGGGCACTTGGGCCGTCTCGTGCCGTCGGAAGGTCGAAAATAAGCAAATGCCACAATCCCTCAGAAACCCATGGGAAATCAATGTTTTTGGTCGTTTCGGGTCTTCCTGGAGGCCCTCGTGGAAGCCTCTTGGGCCGTCTTGGGCCATCTTAAGGCCATGTTCGGCCGTCTTGGTGGGCGCCTGGTCCGTCTGACGCCGTCGGAAGCCGTTTTGGGGGGCCTCTATGGGCCGACTTGGGGCCCTCTTGGAATGCTCCAGGGCCGTTTTGGAGTACATCTTGGGCGTCGTAAAGGCCTCCTGTGCCGTCTTGGGGGCCTCTTGGGGCCGTCTTGGGCCGTTCTGGGGCCATCTCTCGGGCCGTCGGAAGGCCGAACAGAAGCAACTGTCAAAATCCGTCAAACACTTTGGGGAAATCAATGCTTTTGCTCTCTTCTGGCCTTCCTGGAGGCCCTCTTGGGGGCCTCTTGGGCCCTTTTGGGCCAGCTTCGAGCCAACTTCGGCCATCTTGGTGGGTTCCTGGCACGTCTGATGCCGTCGGGAGCCGTCTTGGGAGCCGTTCTGGGCCGACTTGGGGCCCTCTTGGGGCGCTTCGGGGCCGTCTTGGGGGCCATCTTTGGCGTCTTGGAGGCTATCTTGGGCGTGTTGGAGGCCTCTTGGGCCGTCTTGGGGCCCTCTTGGGGTCCTCTTGGAGGCCACTTGGGCCGTCATGGGGCCCTCTTGGGGGCCTCTTGGGCGATCTTGGGGGCCTCTTGGGCCGTCTTGAGCCGTCGGAGTGCCGAGAAGAAGCAAATTCCAAAATCTTTCAAAACTTGGGAAAATCAATGATTTTGGCCTCTTCGGGCCCTCCTGGAGGACCTCTGGGAGGCCTCTGGGGCCGTCTGAGAGGCCTCTGGGGGGCCTCTTGGGCCGTCTTGGGCCGTCTTGGACTTTCTTGGGCCGTCTTGGAGGCCGTCTTGGACCACCTTGGGCGGACTTGGAGGCCGTCTTGGACCATCTTGGAGGCCATCTTGGGCCAACGTGGCCATCTTGGCACCATCTTGAGCCATCTTGGAGGATTTTTTCGAAATTGAGCACCTTTCAGGGTGGCCGGCGGGACAGGCCGGAGCCCCAGGGGGAGTTCTTTTGGAAAAAGAGCCAAAACCAAAACCGAAAAGATCCAGCACGCCAGGCACCCCTGCGATGAATCGACAGGGGGCGGCGGATCGAAGACGCCTACGGCGAATCACCGCCGCCCCCTGCTTTTTTGGAAGCGCCTATGTGGCCAAACGTTGAGGCCTGCCAAGCTATCGGACCATGTGTTCCCCGAATCGGTTTGGAAAGCCTTCGGGGAACACGTGGGCATCTTGAAGGTCATCTTGGCCGTCTGGAGGCCATTCTGACCCTTTCGGGCCTTCTTGGAGGACGTCTTGGAGGGCTCTTGGGCCGTCTTGGAGGCTATCTCGAGCGTCTTGGAGACGTCTTGGGCTGTCTTGGGGGCCTCTTGGGGCCGTGTCTCACAATCCTTCAAAAACCCATGGCAATCAATGGTTTTGGCCTTTTCGGGCCTTCCTGGAGGCCCTCGTGGAGGCCTCTTGGGCCGTCTTGGGCCATCTTAGGGCCATGTTCGGCCGTCTTGGTGGGATTATGGTCCGTCTGACGCCGTCGGAAGCCGTTTGGGGGGCCTCTATGGGCCGACTTGGGGCCCTCTTGGAATGCTCCAGGGCCGTCTTGGAGGCCATCTTGGGCGTCGTAAAGGCCTCCTGTGCCGTCTTGGGGGCCTCTTGGGGCCGTCTTGGGGCCCCTCTTGGGCCGTTCTGGGGCCATCTTGGAGGCCTCTTGGACGATCTTTGGGCGATCTTTGGGGGCTCTTGGGCCGTCTCGGGCCGTCGGAAGGCCGAACAGAAGCACATGTCAAATTCTGCCAAATACCTTTGGAAAATCAATGTTTTTGGCATCTTCGGGCCTTCCTGGAGGCCTTCTTGGGAGCCTCTTGGGCCGTCTTGGGCCAGCTTTGAGCCACCTTCGGCCATCTTGGTGGGTTCCTGGCACGTCTGACGCCGTCTGGAGCCGTCTTGGAGGCCTCTTCGGCGATCTTTCGGCGATCTTTGGGGGCTCTTGGGCCGTCTCGGGCCGTCCGAAGGCCGAAAAGAAGGAAATGACAAAATCCGTCAAAAACATAGGGAAATCAATGCTTTTGCTCTCTTCTGGCCTTCCTGGAGGCCCTCTTGGGGGCTTCGTGGGCCCTTTTGGGCCAGCTTCGAGTCACCTTCGGCCATCTTGGTGGGTTCCTGGCACGTCTGACGCCGTCTGGAGCCGTCTTGGGGGCCTTTCTGGGCCCACGGGGGACCCTCTTGGGGCGCTTCGGGGCCGTCTTGGAGGTCATCTTGGGAGTCTTGGAGGCCATCTTCGGCTTGTTGGAGGCCTCTTGGGCCTCCTTGGGGCCCTCTTGGGGCCATCTTGGAGGCCACTTGGGCCGTCATGGGGCCCTCTTGGGGGCCTCTTGGGCGATCTTGGGGGCCTCTTGGGCCGTCTTGAGCCGTCGGAGTGCCGAG